TGTAATTTCTTTGTATATCATCGTCATTCAACCTCACCCAAACTTCAGCCGATGCTCCACCATTGACGGCAAAAACCCCAGCTGCTCAGTGCTCCGCCCATTTACAACCAAGCCATTTTTCTTCAGAATCGCCTGAAAGTTGGTAAGATTTCCAGTTGTAGTTCAGATTTTGGCGACTGTTTAGTTGAATAGTTTTTCGTATTATTAGTTAGATTATATCTGCTGTTGCTGCTGCTGCTGCTGCTGCTGCTTTAATTTTCCTCTTGACTTCATTGTTTTTATACATGCTTTAACCTATTAATTTCTGCCGTGAATAATGGCTTATCTCAAGCAATTTTGCTGTCAGTTGTCTCTAGTCTCACTCAAATAGGGTAAAGGTTATGCAGCCTCTTTATGGTCCCCAGTTATTTATTTATTTATTTTTTTTTGTTAAGTTGCAACTGTTGTTTAATAACTACTGTGCGCCTGTTTTTCTTGGTAATTTCCTGCTTGTGCTATTTTTAAAATTGTTTGACAGGAAGGACAATAATATCATACTCCGTGCTAGGATTTAGAGGTTTTAGTTTCTTCTAACTTATGTTTAAAACAATCTTTTTTTTCTAGTCCAAAATCCCCTTACAAAATCTATTCTTTCACCCCATTTTAAAGGTTTTGGCTCAATTGTTGGACTGGCTCTTATAACTTTGTTTCACTTTGTCGAAATCGAATCTATACTCTGATTCTGATTGTTTCAATGGGCCCCTTTAGATGGTGTTTGGTTTAATCTCCATTTTCTTGGTGCGTAAATATTTCGACGGCTCGACATACAATTCTTGAAGATAGCAAAAAATATTTGGTGCTCTTAGACCTCCGCTGTTGTCAATGATGTTTAGTTAACAAGCATAGGCTCAACTTTTGTTGATTTTGGTTATTGGAACTCCGCATTTGTAACAAGTACCCGTCATTTTGAGTTTCTTGCTTGTCTGTTTTTACTGACTATTGATATTATATGATATTTTGGTGCACATCCTGTTAATTTGACTATTATATGGATGCCATGAGTTACATTAGTAAAAACGATACCCTTCATATTGAGTTTCTTGCATGTAGACTATTGATATTATATGATCTTTTGGTGCACATCCTGTTAATGTGACTGTTATATGGATGCCATGAGTTACAACCAACCAATCATTTTTGTTTTGACATTCTGGTACATAATAGTTACTAAAAAACTTGTTTCAATAAAATTATTATGTTCCTTGATCTTGAATTTCTTTTAACCATTCTTTGTGAAAGCTTGGCTTGCTACTTGTGTGATACGTTAAGATAATCTAGATTTTTGCTATCAACTTCATATCTTGGGTGATTCAACATAGTTTGAGCTGTTCTAATTCAGAATAAAAGGACTAAAAACAATAAAAGCTAATGTAACATTAAAATAAAATGATAAAGAAAAGGGGCATTCCGAGAATCGAACTCGGGACCTCTCGCACCCGAAGCGAGAATCATACCACTAGACCAAATGCCCTGTTTTGTTCAATTGTAAGTTACAATAGAACATATTTGAAGAGGTTTGACCAAATTAAAAGAAAGATAAGAAAAAAAAAAAGAAAAGAAAAAAAAAAATAGCTGAGTTTGAAAATGACAAAATTAACCTTTGACCTTGAGGTTTCATCTTGTTTTACACTTACCCTCTCCATTAGGAAAAAATAATAATCAACATGCCTATTCACATTTGTAATAAATTACAGTCAGCTCCTTAATTAGTTTAGGCGGCCACTCAAACCTCGGGGTGTTTTTTGTAATTTTGGGAAGCTTTCGGGTATCCTGTATAGTTGTCACGATCTTTAGAATAAGAAGGCCACTTGTCTTATATGATGGCTAAGCTCATGATGAAGTTCGAGTTGGATATTTTTCTTGGTGATTTATTAGAAATTTCAAATCAATTCATAATAAACTGCCATTCTGCATCTAACACTATAAAAAGATTTGTGTCATTTAGAAAAAATCTCAAACAAAATTAGTTCAAGAATGGTAGAAATTCTTCCAAGGCTACCTACCAGTCTACCACTGTCTTTATTATATCACTGCCTTTATTGTTTACTAAAATAATTTTTAAAGAAAAAAATATACCCTTCATAGAAAAGGGGGCATTCCGAGAATCGAACTCGGGACCTCTCGCACCCAAAGCGAGAATCATACCACTAGACCAAATGCCCTTTTGTCATTACATCCCAAGTTGCCTTTATATGTCTCAGTTTATACTTTGGTGAACGTATTGTACATCTAACTGCACTTGTTAGCTCTTGTTATCTGTATACTTGTACTTCAGCTATATTAATTACATCATGCCTTTATGGATTATAATGGATCAAATTTTGAATAGGACGATACATCATAAGTAACATGCTCAGTTTAAGCAGTTTGTGTGCTCTCTTGTTATTGGCAAAGGATGGACAAGTGATCTTTTTGTTATAGTTTCTGTTGATTGATCCCAATTCTTTGTAGATTTGTGGGTTTACAAACCACTGAAGCCTGACAACCCGCTAAAACCGGTAGTACAAGCTGTTGATTTAGGTCGATATATATGTATGACCTTCAGCAAATTAAGATACAGTGATCTTTTGAAATCTTAAATATTCCATTGGAAATTTCTCTTTGTTTCAGACTTGCTGCCTGTGCAATTTGTAGGACAAAAACATATATTAAGGACCATTTCTTTAATCGGTGAAGGTGATCTCTCTCTCTCTCTCTCTCTCTCTCTCTCTTCCGAATTTTCAATTTAATCAGTTTTGATCACGAAAGTTTTCAAGATTAATCGTTTTTGTCAATATGTTATAAGAATAATTAAAATTGACGGTCGCCGCTGCCTAGGCGGATTTCAACAAATTATCTATCATCTTGAAGTTTTTGAATTGACCTATCAAATGGTATCTTTTATTTTACTACACGATATTTTGAGATTTGTAAAACTCGCTGTTAAAGGTTATAATTTTTTTTTTTCACCAAAATGTGTCTTAATGTTTGATCGAGTTTTACCAATGCTCCCACCATTGGATTTACACGAAACGTGTACTTATAGAAATACAATTTCGGGAGGAATCAGACAGTGTATTCCAAACAACAATAGAGTCCTTCAATCTCCGGATATAAGCTGGAGAAGTTTCTAATTTTTTTGACAATATGCGGCTGGTAAACTGCAGACTTCGTTGGATTATCTCTGGTCACCGAGATATTCGATTTACTATCAGTATATACCTTTGGATTCCTCTGGACATTTTTTTTGTTATACATATATTATTCATGAAAATCTAACAGTGAGATCTTTGGTAGCACATGGTCAAATTTTGAGGTGCAATTTGGCCAAATATTTGTAGAACATTTAACGACGACTTTGATGGATCTCGATATCATATAGTAAAATAAAAATTATCTTTTAATAGGTTGAGTCGAGAGCTATAAAATAGTATATAATTGTTGAAATTTGCAACTATGTCAATTATAACTGTGTTTTTAACGTTTAGACAAAAAATGATTAAATCCAAAAACTTTAGTACCCAAAACTGATTAAATTGGAACCTCGGGTGGCAAACACGAAAAGATGATGTACTTCGGGTACCAAAAGTGAAATTTATCCGAAAATTAGGCCATCTTGTTATTCTAAAGCTTTAAAATTAAGCGTTATTTACTCAGGAAAAGAGAGACTAGTACATTGAAATTGCTATTTTGAAATACAAAATAAATAAATAAATAAATAAACAAAATATTTCACGTTAAATTGGGTATATGAAATTAAAATCATTGGCTATATGACCATCAGTAGGTGTGGTTCTAGTGTTAAGACATCAGAAAAAAAAAAAAAATGAATACGAGAGAGATGTTGGCAACCGATTTCGTTAGGAGATAGCTCAAAACGATACGTATCCATCATTTACTAATTTCCAAACCGTATTAGTCGGAAGCAAAAAAACGTCTTGGTCGACCATATTGCCCTAGTCGGCCTTACTGAAGAAATATGTTGTACCCAACTGAACATGGGCATCTAAGAGTCGACCAAGTTACCTTTAGTTGGCTCCAGATGTCCTTCCACTTATGATGACAAGACACTGGTGAGTTATCTCGTCGGACGAAGAGCCGAGCAAAACCCAAACGTCAATTAATATCTACTAGACGATTTGTCGGGGCACATGCCAGGCAAACAGAGTATTCTACTATTCACACTCAAACATACCTCATGCAGCAGACACAGTAATTATATGAAGTCATCGAATGATTTTTTCTTAATTACAAAGTCATCATCACTTAATGTATTGACACATATCCAAAGTGTTTTTATTATATGACACGTGTCAATGCATTATTTATGAATAATTGTTGATGACTCCATAAGCTGTATTATCCGATGGTTCCACAGCAAAACTGACAACAGACGTGTGTATTAGACAATTTCTATAAATAGCATCAAAATTCTTTCCCGAAAGATACCCCGTTGCAAGAAAAAAAAAAAAAATAGCAATATAAAAGAAAAAAAAGCCGAACAGCTTTCTTGTTTGGTCCGGTTCAATAGTATAAATTGTCATTTTATACTTTATTATCATTTTTTATTATTTTAGCGTTGCATCAATTTCATTTGGAGAGAGAGAGAGAGAGAGAGAGAGAGAGAGAGACAGAGAGAGAGAGAGAGAGAGAGAGAGAGAGAGAGAGAGAGAGAGAGAGAGAGACAGAGAGAGAGAGAGAGAGAGAGAGAAAGAGAGAGAGAGAGAGAGACAGAGAGACCCAAAGTGGCCATTGCTTTAACTTAGGGAAAATGACAACAAAACTGCCCATCCCTTCACCCGCAACTCACTGCGCCCCATCATTTTTTTTCCTTAACTAAAATGCTTAAACACTTGCAAAAGATATACCAAAACAACACAAGATAAAAAAAACGGAATAAGGGGAAAGAGGCGCAAACAAAGGTTGTAATAGACCGCGATTGTTCTCTTTCTCCTCGCATTCGAATCGAAACCGAAAAAAAGATGGCATTTGCAGGTACATCCCAGAAATGCACGGCGTGCAGTGGCACCGTCTATCTGGTCGACCGACTTGCCGCCGACAGCCGCGTTTATCACAAGGCCTGTTTCCGTTGCCACCATTGCAAAGGCACCCTTAAGGTGCACGTCTCCTATATCAAATCCCATTTATTATGCACACTTACTCAAATATCTAATCACTTTTGAAAACATTTTCTTTTTTTTTTTGGACTTTTTGCAGCTGGGAAACTTCAACTCCTTTGATGGGGTTCTCTACTGCAGGCCTCATTATGATCAGCTCTTCAAGAGAACTGGAAGTCTCGACAAAAGTTTCGAAGGTACGCAAGTTTTCCCGTATTATCATTCTTCCACTTTGTATTCACCAGCTGATTACATGTTCTTTTTTCAGGGACACCGAAAATTGTGAAACCCGAAAAGGTTATTGAGAATGAGGTAAATGTAATGTCCTATTTTTCCTCTGTTTTTCTTAGAATGGACGAAAAATGCACTCACAAGATAGTCGTCTAAACGTAATGTAACGACGTACCATACATACGTGGCAATTTATGGAAATAAAAAATGCCAGCCGTCGCAGCGATGATAGTATCAAGATCAAATTTGTGATCAAATTATTTCATTCAGAGTAAATATTTTGCATTTACTGCTCAACCTACCTGATGCTAATTTAGATGATGTTGTATTGAACAGAATGCAAGCAAGGTGTTAAGCAAGTTTGGTGGTACAAAGGACAAATGTGTGGGTTGTAACAAGATAGTTTATCCCATTGAGAAGGTAATACATTAAGTTTCTAATATTTGATTTATAAAGTCCAAAATTCATCATATTTTTCACCACTAGATTCTCTTGCACTAGTAAGCAAATGGATCTTAAACGAAACGTGCGAATACAATGATCGTTTTTAGATTTAACTACAATACTGCTTGAAAGTACAATTTGTAAAACAGAAAAATGGCCAACTAATGTTTTTTTTCTTGCCCACATCTCTAATATTTTTTTCGTGAATACATATAGGTGACGGTGAACGGGACTCCATACCACAAGAGCTGCTTCAAGTGCTGCCATGGAGGGTGCACCATAAGCCCGTCCAACTATATAGCGCACGAGGGTAGGCTCTACTGCAAGCACCACCATAACCAACTTGTGAAGGCTAAAGGGAATTACAGCCAGCTTGAAACTGAATTATGAGCATTTTTCTTTTCTTTTCTTTCAATCTCTACATCCTTTTTGTGATACCTTCTCTTCTTCATTTTGTATCATCTTGTCAAAAATCTTGAAGGTTGCTTTTGGTTTTGGGTTCGATAACTGTCATTAGTTCGCCTCTCTCTCAAGTTTCAAGACTATTTATTTTTTTGTATCTTTTTCCTTACCTCCAAAACCATAATCAACACAAACACTTGAAAAAACAATTTATTACTGTTCCCTCTAAGTACCCTGAAAACTAACGACCAATCTATCAAACGAATATCGACTTGTAGCAGACGATTAAATAGTTTCTACAAGATGTTGCAGCAGACGACCGAGAAATAAAGTTTAATGCCGCTTACACATTTTACCAAATCTTGTTGATGTGTTTGCTTTTCCTTTGCTAGTTTGGTATCTTTTTTGGGTTGGTTTGTGTAGTTAGTTGTTTGAGGTTCTTAGACTTTGCTACATTGTAGTAGCTAAGGTTTGTGCTGCACGGTACGCTTATTTTGTACATTGTTTCGAGTTGGTTTTCAATGATATATGACATTTTTAGAAAAAAATAAAATAAAAGAGTTTAGCCTACAATCAAAAGAGAATTGAAACTTTTATAAATTTTCAAACATATTCAATTTTCAATAATAAGCAATTCATAAATCACAATAGATCAATGACATTGTAGCAATATGAGGATGGAAAAATTAGCTTCATAATTAAGTTTACCCAATGAGTACAACTGTTACATTTTCCCATACAATACTTTGGTAAAGTTTGGGGCGCCCAATATTGTTCTTATGGAAATAAATTTACTGAAATATCCCCCATCCCATATATATAATTACCGAATACGTTCAGCCTACGTGGTTGTTTCTGGTGCTTCGAAATCGTACTTGGCGAAAAATCATGCTTCGTATTTTAGTTTGGACAATTAATATTGGTATTATAAATTAATAATTTTAGGTTCGGACATTCCATAATATAGGTTCGGACATTCCATAAATATTAATAAGCTAACTTAAGTAATTTCATAACACTTATACTAATATAACCCTTTAATTCTTTGTAATCTTACATAGTGCGGCACTAAGTGATTAATATATCACTGATTTTTTAAATATATTTTAAAAGTTGATAACTTTTGTATTTCTTATCGGTTTTGCATATATAATATCTCAAATTAAATCATCTTTTGATTCGATTTGACATCCATATTGTAGATATAAAATAAATAAATTATATATATCTTTAAAATAATAATAAAATTATTTATTAAATTAATTAGAAAAATAAAATTATTTCTCAATTAATATATTTATGTTAATGTAGTTATATGATATAAGTTAAAAAATTATTATAATATAACATAAGTAAGTCGCACAAAGAACAAGTAACATACTAAAATATATAATAATATATTTTTTTTATAAAAAATATTTAACTTTTCAACCACTTTTTCTCATTAGTTTTAATTTTAAGAAAAAAAAAATTATCAAACATCCGTGTATTACATGGGTGTTGTACTAGTTAGAAGATAATAACTAATAGGGGTAAAATACTTTTTCCCATCTGAACTATCACGGTTTTGGCGCATCACCATATAAACTATTTTTTTTACAAACCACCATATGAACTATACGGGTTTGTCAATATGCCCCCTAAACCGGATATAAAAGTGGTTTAGAGGGCACATTGACAAACCCGTGATAGTTCATATGGTGGTTTGTAAAAGTATTTAGGGGGCACATATGGTGACCAAACAGGTTTTAAGACATTGACAAACCCGTGATAGTTCATATGGTGGTTTGTAAAAGTATTTAGGGGGCACATATGGTGACCAAACAGCTTTTTCAGTCAAAACTGCTTTTATATCCGGTTTAGGGGGCACATTGACAAACCCGTATAGTTCATATGGTGGTTTGTACAAAAAAATAGTTTATATGTCGATGCGCCAAAACCGTGATAGTTCGGATGGGAAAAAGTATTTTACCCTAACTAATAATGAACTAAATCTTTGTCCTATTTTTATTGTTATTTATTTATTTTATTTTTTTGGTACAAAAGAGAGACTAAATCCAAGCTAATTTAAGCAAACATTTGCCTAGGGTATGAGACACCACAAACATCGCTTGCTAGCCGTGGGATAACACCGGACGGGGGAAAGATATGGGAAATCTTAACTCGCCAGTCTCGACTAAGTAATTCTTGTATACCAAGAACCAAACCAGAAGAAACACCCCTTAAATCTTCTGTATTATTCACAAAACCCACGATATTAACATTGTCCACTTCCGCCTCAACCTGGCGAAATCCCATATCCCAAGCCATACTAAGACCGTGGAATAGTCCCCATAACTCTGCCCCCGCGACAGAGCACATCCCAATATTTCGTATAAATCCTCCCAACCATGTCCCATGAGTGTCACGTATCAACCCTCCAGTTGAAGCCATACCCGAGGATTTATGATAAGCCCCGTCCGAATTCACTGTCATCCAATCCGTCGGTGGAGCCACCCAATGGATAAGACGCTGGCTGCGATAAACTCCGACATCTCCAAGCTTTTTGTCGCACTTCTAAAATTTTGATTTCATGGACCTTCTCCTCCGCTTCCTTTTCACGATTTTGAAAAATAGTAATATTATGCCATTGCCATAATTTCCACAAAGTCACACCAAACAAACACTCCCAGTCGACTTCTACCAGAGGATCAAAGGAATTCAATAAGTTTGAAGCGAGCCACTCCTCCAAATTTAAACTGAAAAAGGTCTGACGTACCCGTGGCGGAACGAGGTGGTCCCACACTTGAGTAGCACTCGAACAATCACGAAGAACATGCAACAGCGACTCGTTTATAGGCGGACACTTATGGCAGCTTAGTACTGAGGTTAAATGTTGCCACCCGCGCTCGACGTTGGTCAGAAGCTGTTCTTTAAGTACCAGCCAAAGAAAGTACCGAACACGTTGCGGGTCGGGCCATCGCCACACGATTTTCTAAAGAACCCCACTGTCTGTTTCTTCTGCCGGGCTAAGGAGTTGGTAAGCCGAACGGGTGGAGAACTTACCGTTACTAGAGTCTTCCCAGTACGGCTGGTCATCTTCCAGCTCCGGTCGAGGGATCGACATCTCTGCGATTTTAAGGAGGGTAGAAGTAGGGAGCAGGCTACCAAACAACTCACATTTCCACGTGCTGTTATCCTCACACACGAAAGAGCTGACCGAAAGTTCCAAAAATTCAGGCGAGATCGGCGTAAGTGCGGCCGTGCATAGAATCTCCGAGCCCGGTAACCATGCATCCAGCCAAAATTTTATTGTCGAGCCATTGCCAACCATCCATTTAGTGCCCGCCGAGACATGGTTCCAAACCTTCCATGTAGCCTTTATGACAGTCGAACCAAACGTCGTACGCCTGCTCGGCATGAAAGGGTTAGCTCCATGCTTGGCTTTCCATGTACAAACCCAAAGGGCCTCCGGCTTCGTTCGAAAACTCCATCCGAACTTCATAAGAAAAGCCTCGTTCATGCGCCACAGAGATTTCAGTCCCAGCCCCCCCGTTACGTCGAGGTTTACACACTTTCTCCCATCGGACTAAGCTTATTTTCCGTTGCTCAAGCGTTCTACCCCATATGAATCGATGACAAAGCCTTTCAACCCCTTCGCACTGGGAGTTAGGTAGCCATGCGGACTGCATTGTGTAAACTGGGAGGGAACTCAATATCGATTGAGCGAGTATCACCCGCCCTGCCATGGAAAGTGATGATGCTTTCCATCCTGCCAATGTCGATTCGACCTTCTCCAGGATGTGTGCGTAAGTTCGGTTGTTAACTCGGCCATGAAGAAGGGGAACTTCTAGGTACTTACCGAGGTTGTCAACAAGAGACAAGCCTAACCGCTGAGCCAAGGCCCGCTGTGTAGCAGCATGAACATTGCTCGAACAAAAACAATGGTCTTTAGCTGGCTAATTTTTAAGCCCGACTCCTCACAGAATTTCCTCAGAACACCTTTGAGAATATCCACCTGAATAGTATCTGCCTCCATGAATAGAAGGAGATCGCCAGCAAATAACAAATAGGGGATTTGAATAGCTCATCTACCGAGGACCATCGGTTTCCAAAGGCCCGTCGCCACCTCGTTTTGAATGGCATGTGCGAGCCGTTCAATGCATAGGACAAATAGATACGGTCAAATGGGGTCCCCTTGCCGCACACCCCGAGAAGGGCGAAATTCATCACTAGGACTACAATTCCAAAAAATTTGCATAGAGGCCCAAGAGACGCACTTCATAATGTTAGAGACAAAGCAAAGTGGGAAACCAACAGCTGTTAATGAAACATGCAAGTAATCCCAGCGTAAGAAATCATAAGCTTTCTCCAGATCGACCTTCACCACCATGTAACATTTGGGTCCCGATTTAATTTGCATGGAATGAATCAATTCTTGGGCCACAATAATGTTATCATTGATATGCCTGCCCGAGATAAAACTGACATGTGTCGGACCAATTAGCTGGGGGAAGATCGGTTTCATGCGATTGGTCAACACCTTGGTCACTAGCTTATAAATCACATTCAACAAGCTGATAGGCCAGAAATTCCTAAGGGTGTCAGGATGATCGACTTTAGGAATGAGAACAACGAGTTTTTTGTTGATATCGGCCGGCATAGGACCTCCCCGCAAAATCTCCTTAATCAGCCGACAGACAGAAGGGCCAACTAAAGTCCACTGACTTTGGAAGAAAAAAACATGTAATACGTCGATCCCCGGTGCCTTAAGTGGCCCCATTTCGTTAAGCGCACCAAAAATCTCACCATCAGTCACGTCTTTAGATAAAGAAGCGATAGCCGAAAGAGGCAGAGGAGGAAAGAAAGAGGTCGTGAGCGGGGGTAGGTCGGGCCTATCCTCAGCCGTGTAAATGTTCCGAAAATACTCCACCGCCATTGACCGTAAAGTGGCTGGCTCCACAATCAGATTGCCCGCCATAAGAGCGACTATTTTGTTGCGGTGTCTC